GGTTATCAGATTCACATAGCTCTTGGTGCAACTGTGGCAGTTTGATTCCAAGGCCTTTGAAAAATAACACTGGAGACTTAAGAGGAACTTTAGAGATACTTTAGTCCCCATTTTAAATCTAGGAGTTTACTATGGAGAAGATATATTCACACTGAATGCATTCAAAGATAACTAGTTTCTTGTTGATTTAATTGCAAGAATAACAAGTAACAAATCTGCAGAACTTTTCCCCAAGTAATCTCTAATAGAGGAACATATTAGAGGAATTATTTCAGAATAGTATTTTATTCACAGCTATCCCACATTAGAAAGTCACAATTATTTGGAGTGAGCAGTATTAAGGCTACATTTTCAACAAACCGGCTTCAGAAACTACTTCATCTAGTAAGAACTGAGATGTTTCTACTTCTTATATTGACTTCAGGGTTATTTTTTTCCTTCTGATTTCCTTCCTGTGGTATGGCTTCAAGTTGGAGCCCCCTCTAGACTTGTGTTTAGAAAGAGAGAGATTCCTATAATAGGTTACTAAATTTGTGATAGGTTTTGCATGTGACCTTAACAAAGAATGGGTTGCAGAAAATAACTCAGACTCAGGACATAGAGCACAGAACTGTGCTGTCCCAAGAGCCTTTACTGCCTGGAAACGATTTGGCTTGCTGTAGTTGGAAGTCTCACTCTAAGTAGAGTCATTTAATACTGTAACATTTTTCATAGGAATCTATCATAGAAACTTCTTTGCTTTGTACGTGATGGCCCTGTTCTTTCAGCAAGGGTTGTTTAAATTCTAAAAACTAAGCTGAAAAGTCAGATCATTGCAGCATCCATGCCTTCCTCCCTGTGAATTTAGAATCAAAGTCATAGGATTTTCAAATGAGATCATTTGAAATCATAATAGTCCAGCTTCTTGCCACACATACAAAAAAGAGATCACTTGGAGGTTCCTCACCAAAGCTCCATAGTTATAGTGTATTGTGGGTGTCAGAGTGCATGAAATTCAAAGATTTAATTTCTCAGTCCAGAGACCTCAGACATAGCTTAACATGTACTTCCTAGAGAGCTAAGGTGTCAATGTTTGGCTGTGAGAGAGTTTTTAATGGAATGATCTGGAAGAATAGAGGCCTACTATAAAAGAGAAGAAGTTTTTAATTCTTGTAAGGATTTTTTGAGGTTATTTTTAGAGAACTGTGATGCCACCAGGAATCCTACAAGAATCCATCCCTCTAAAATTCCTTCTATTTTCTTTTTCTAATAAGGAAGATATTTTGAAGTAAATAGTCAAGGGTAGAGGTCATGCATGAGACAGACAGTCTAGGAAGCAGCTTACTTCCTCCTCCGGGTTTGCTTTAGTCATGCTATATTAAAAGCTGTGAGAGTTTTCCCAGAAAAGAAACCCATATACCAGAATGTTTAGATCGAAATTTCAACCTGTCATCAAGATAGAATAAATGAGAGATTCCCAAATAGGTTCTATGCAGATGGAACAAATGTAACTTCTGGGAATACATTCTGTAATTCTTGAGAAAATAGAAGGATTTTGTGACATTTCTTCAAGAGTAACTAGTAGCTGAGCTATGGAGTCCCCACTTTTCAACACAGGAAAGTTACCACCTCCTATAGCAAACCTAGCTAACCAGGGCTTGCTTACCAGTGGAGAGCTTAAAATGTGTTCCCAATATGATAAAAGCATCATGGACAGATTATTTTCTTCCTAGAAAATGTTGATGGGGGAAAATTTGGCTCACTAATACTTTGATGACTGAGACATGGGAGTTAGCTGCTGCATGGAAACAAAGATGGCCCATTGTTTCGCCAGTGACAAAAGACGGATTGTAAGTGGTGACAGCTGGTACAGAGCCTTTCTTCTGGTGAACTAGGAGTTAAATATGGTGGATATCTTAGGAGAAAGCTCAAGTCTTGAGAGCTGTTGCTGGAAAGGTCTCTTACAGTTGGTATCTTTGTTATCTGTCATGCCCAACAAACATGAAGTCACTCAGCACAGCAAGTACTATAAATCTCCTTACCTTTTCTTCCTGACTTCATGGAGGGTTTTTAGATAACACACAATATGCTCAGCTAAATTTGGCATTCAGATAAAGGATGAACATTTTTTATTATAAGTATTTCTTTGGAACATAATTATACGAAAAAATAGGCTATTCATTTAAAATTCAAATTTATCTAAGTGATCTATATTTCTGTTTACTAAATCTAGCAACCTTACCCACACTCCACCTTTTCCCAAGCATCTGGTGAGTAGGTAATGCTGATGGACAGGAAAGAACTGAAATTGTTCTTTGTTTTCTAAATCAGCTGTGTTTTGTGATTCAGTGTTCTTTCCAGAGAGTAAGCTGAAAAGTCAATGGATTTTTCCAGGCTCTTCAGGCAAGACCAGAGGAAGATTTTCCTATATAATAAATAATAAAAAAGACTTGATAAAACTTAAAAGTGAAAAATATCTTTTTCTTGCTTGTGGTTTTATTATGAATGATTTTTGTTACTGTAAAGGTAATATATAGAGAGGGATTACAGTTGTACAGGCCACATTTCTTTTTGGACAATGTCACCCCTTCCCTCACGCTCTCCCATTTCTCCCATTTTTCCTTCCCATCCCCACCCACAAGTTATATAGTTCATGTTCAACATAGTGTCTAGTGAGTATCACTACTGCATTTTTTCACCCTTTGTACCCTCACTTCTGGGCCCCTTTTACCCTCCCAAAGACAGATAAATGAACAAACAAAATAAAAGGGAAAGAAAACAAAAACAGCAACCAAAAACACTCATTTCAGTTTCCTGCAGTGCATTTCAATATTTTATTTTACATGATCAGATGTGCATAGATATTGTGCCTTGTGTGTTTGTCTCCTAAGAATATCTTCCTTTGGTTTCACTGTACATAAATGCCTAGAGACCTGTGTAATTTATCATATCCTAGTGGTTTTTTTTCCCACCATCCAGTGTGTTTACTGGATACATTCTAGCTACCACAAATGAGGGAAACCATGCAACCTATGTTTCTTTGGGTTTGGCTTACTTCATTTAATATCTTGTTTCTACCTGAAAAAGGATGTAGCTAACAAGATAAATAGAAAGTCCACAGAATTGGAGATTTTTACCAGCTATGCATCAGACAAAATCCTCACATCTAAAATATACTTAGAGCTTAAAAATTAAACCCTCCAAAACCAAATCCTCTAAGAAACCATAATCAAATTAATAAATGGCCTAAAGTCTAAGAGAGAGACTTCTCAGAAGAAGAAGTAAGAATGGCCCATAGACATATGAAGAAATGCTCAACATCTCTGGCCATAAAAGAAATGCAACTCAAAACAACATTGAGATTCCACCTCACCCCAATTAGAAAACTAAATATCAAGAAAACTAATAATATCAAATGCTGACATGGATGTGGCCAAAAAGGAACCTTGTAATACTGTTTGTGGGAATGTAAACTTGTTCACTCTGGAAAGTAGTATGGAAGTTCCTCAAAAGACTAAATATAGAGCTTCTCTATGACCCAGCAATTCCACTTCTGGGCATTTATCTAATTGACCACAAACCAAGCCTCACTAAAGCTACCGGCACAACCTGTTTATTGCAGCATTGTTTACCATAGGCAAGATATAGAATCAACCCAGATGTCCTTCAGTGAATGAATGAATTAAGTGAAAATTTATCTTTGAGTACACCACAAATTTTCTTTAAGTAATCCTGCTGTGTTTAACTTTGTCTACTGACAGAACTATAAGAACTATAACTATAATTTGTCTTGAAATTTGTGCTCTTCTCAACGTATCTTTGGAATTTTTACTTTGTAGAATGGTTTTGTGGCTGTACTGAACATTCTTGGAAAACTTCTGTTGAGGACCTAATATGTGAGAAAGACTCCTTAAGGTTTTAACTAAACGAGAATTTGACTCAAATCAGCTCAAACAACATCATAAAAATTTTCAGTCCAGGTATTTGGAAAGCTTCGGTATAGGGAGAGTTTGAGGACTGCTTGAGTTAAAGGCTCAACCATGTGAGCAAGGACTGAATATTTAATGTGTATTCATGTAATTTTTGCAGTGTTGAGAATATAGCCCAGGACCTCTGAGCTATATTCCCATCTTTATGTTTGCTTTGAATACGTTTGTCTTCTTTCTTTACAGTAAGCAATGGGAATTTTAAGAATGGTTCCCTTGTTAATAAGGTGGCCACAAGTTTAAATTGGGGACAAAGTGGATGAGAGTTATGCTGTACTGTCACTCCAAACAACCTAAGCAGTCACACTACAAGCTTATTCTGTGGTGACTCTGTCTAGGGCACATACATATGGAAAACACATAATCTAAAGCTTTGTCAGAGGGCTAATAGTGGGTTCGATTTTTACCAAAATGTCAGCTATGTGGGAAGCTGTAGGTGGGACTGATAAGGAAAGAAAGTTCAGTAGTCCTTAATAATTGTTAGATAAAAGACAGTGTGAAAATGGATACTGGCCCTACTAAGTATCCACTCTGACTGGAAATTTACATTTCTGTCACTGACTACATGCAGAGGTTATAACACAAAACTGACAGTCTACACCTTGTAGGCATTTGCCAGTTCCAGAGGACATGGCTCAGTTCATGACCCTAGAATCTGAAGATCTTCCTTTTTTCTTTGTAAGGTGTTAACTGTTGGTATTGAAGAGGGAAGGTAATTTGGGTGGAGTATCCAGGACTCAGGGTAGCGCAATTTCTCAATGGGAAAATCATATATCAGCAATATAGCCCCCTATATCATCATAGCCATATATACTGGCCCAATGGGCCTTACTTCTGGTCTCCCAGAAGCAAAACACAAAAATTTACCTCTGAGACGACTTATGTTTCTTTGTTTCCTCACTTGAAAAATGAGTGAGATGAACTTGATTTTAACAATTCCTCTGAGAATAATGTTTATTTTGTGAGCTGTAACAATTTGTGTAAATGAGGCTTTAATTCTGTCAATTATCCACAATGTGATATGTCTGCCTTACAATAAACAGTTGTTACAAATTTAAAAATTTTTTAATTTGGCAAAGAGCCAAATTACCATTTGAAATTTGGCACATAAAAAATGTAGCTGAATTTAACTCTGAATTTAATTGGATTTTGACACTGAAAACTTTAAATATGCTGTTTCTAAGAGCGTGAAGCATTTCTTGTTTCTCATTTTCAGTGTTTTGCATGCAGAGAGAGAGGGAAAAGTATCTATTTACCATCTTAGAAACCACTAATAATATTTTGACAGTAACAGAAAGCAGATAGGCATAAAAACAGAAATATGTAAAGGACAATTAAAGTTAGATTGAGGCCATTCATTAATCCGAGGATAGATCAGTGGCTGAATTGACCCAACCGCAGCTGCTGTTCTTGAGAGACTCGCCTAAGGAAGAGAGATAGAAAGTGGTCACATGCACATTTATCCCCTTCCCCACACGATGAAATGTCCTCACAGGCATGCATTTTTCTCTGGGGGTCTCACCTACTTGAGCTAGCACTCAGTGTGAAGCGAGGTATCTTAAGTTTTGCTTTGCTAGGCAGCTAAATATAAAACCCACAAAACAACAATTTCCCTCTATAATAAATGGCAACTCAGCAACCATAATGAGCCTTTTTCTTACCTCCTACAGTTTTCTTTGTCTTCTCCTATCTATACAGCTTAAATCCGAACTGACTACCTTAGAAGGCAATATTTTGGGCACCAGAAATATAGACAAGAGAATGAATATTTGTATCTCTATCATTTTCTTCCTAGTGACATGTTTAAAATATTTGATATCTTGGAATTTTTATCTGTTTGATGGAACATTTCACACATCTTCAGAGGTCTGTTTTTAGATTTTGCTGCCCTTTGTCATCAACAATACCAAAGCAAAAACAGCTGTTAACCTTTGAAAAGGAGAAATTTTGGCCATAGCTAGCATTTGCTCTTTTTGTTAGAGTGTGGCTCATTGATCCTCAATCCTTTCTTCTCTTTTTATACTAATTTATGATTTAGCTATAGATATGCACATCTGTGCTAATCAACCAATATATAAACATTCTAAAGACACAGACACAGGATCAATACTTTTTTAAATTGTATTTTGTGCCACAACACTGGATACAATGAAATAAATATATTCACATTGCTTTCCACAAATAATAGCTTTTAAATATAATTCATAAAATTTTATCTTCTTTCTCTAAAAAGCACTAAGAAGAGGATAATATCAGGATAGACAGTCTTGCCACAATCTTGGCAACTATTTAACTCAATGAAACTGCTGCCACTCCCTCTCAAAAGCTGGTCACCTACGGGTATGGAGGGAGGAAGGATGAGCAAATGCAGTCATTATAGTCAATATACATTACAGAAAAATTGAACTGTGTAACTTGAGGGGAAAGAAAGGAGAAAATGGGGGAGGATGGTGGAAGGGTGACACTGATCAAGATTCATTGTATTTGTAACTTGACTTCTAGAATTGTTATCTCTATACAACTACTTAATAATTAACATTTTAAGAAAGTTCATCCTGGAAAATCTATCTTTCCTAAAAGGGAACACAGACCTGGAACTTGTGGAAAGATTTATAATACTACTGAAATATCCAGAGGTACTCTTAAATGTTATATAGTACTTGAGTATAACTATATTTTGTTACAAGTTATAATGTATTTTCATGAAGAAAATTCTTGTTTTAATAAGAAATCTATAGTGGGGGGAAAAAGAGAAAAAGTAGGAATGGGTATAATCAAAGTATATTTTATGCACATATGGAAATGTCATTGAAATCTATAGTGGGGGGAAAAAGAAAGAGAAAAAGTAGGAATGGGTATAATCAAAGTATATTTTATGCACATATGGAAATGTCATTGAAACTCCTTGTAAAATTAATAAACAAAAATAAAAATGGTCCTAAAATAGCAAAACAAACAAGAAATCTGTTATTGAAAGATTCAGTTCTCCTTTTCCTTCTCTTTTCTTACTTTATTTCCTCCCTCCCTCCTTCCTTTCTTCCTTCTCTCCTTCCTTCCCTCTGTCCAGCATTACTGGGAGTTGAACTCAAGGCCTAGTACTTGCTAGACTGGTGTTCTCCCACTTGAACTAGCCCTCTATCCCTGCTTTTTGCTAGTTGTTTTGGAAATGCTATCTAGTGAATTTTTCTGCTCCAGCTGGCCTCAAACTAGAATCCTCAACATCTCACCCTCTAGAGTAGCTAGGATTTCAGGCATGAGCCACTGATGCTTTCTTTAATCCTAACAGAGCTAAAATGATATAAAAAATTGAAGAAATGTGATATTATTCCTAAATGATGTATGATTGGAGCCGTTCTTGTTGCTCATAACTACAACAACATTTCAAAGCAAAAGAAATTCAGTACAAAGGAATAGAAATACAAACCTCGTTACTTAGCATTTGTAAAAATAGATTCATTTTAATTTTAGCCAATTGTGTTTCAAGCATGTTCAGTTTAGTTCTGCAATCATGAGTGCTGGGTGTAGAATAAAACAGGACATAGATATTTATATATGAGGATATGGTTCCAAGATCCTCCTTTTCCACAGTTAGAAGAGTTCTCTCCCTAGCTGATAGACAGAACTACAACCAGATGATTCAGTGTACTATGAGAAGACCTTGGGAAATGAAGGCCTTCTGAACACTGGACTGGTATCACCAGGTACAATTCTTATGTGTATCAAATCACAGAATTACACTTAAAGAATCAGGATTGTAAACTTGATGGAAGGCCTCTAGAAATACCTTTACAGATGACTGAAACACCAGACTTAGGTTTAAGTTATACTCATTCACAAAAGAAAAGTGATAAAATGAAGAATGGGAAGACCTGTAATTCAGATTTCATGTTCTCTGACAAATATTCTTTAGCTGTATTTTTATCTTATGCACTTCATTAAAAACTAATGCTTCACTCTTTTTTCCTTATTAGAAAAATAATGCATAGTTTCTTTAAAAAAACACTAGTAATAAAATTAAAAAGGGAATCATTTGCAATTTCACTAACTAGTGAGCAACAAAGTTACTTTTGCACTCATATAAATGAAGTAGTCATAAACATGATAATTCTATGATTCTTTAGTCTATTTTTTCTACTCAATTTTATTTAAATTACTATGAGGATTTTTCTATTTCAGTATATGGTACAGCAATTTTAAAGATATAGTACATGAACTTTAACTTACTTAAGATAAATTTTGGATATTTAAGTTGTAGGTTGCTTTCATTTTTATGAATAGTGTTTTAGTAAAATATTTATACAAATATCCAAAATTATTTTCCATGGTCAATTCCTAGAAATAAAATTGCTTTTGATATAAAATTCAAAATTTATTTTAGCAAGTATAATCAAATGACAGTAATCTTTTTGGCATAACCCATAGCTCCAATCATTGGCAAACCTAATTTTTAATGTTTAAACCTGCCAACTTATAGGTACAATTGTACTGTCATTTTAACTTTATCTATGTTATCATATATTTTCATAAATATCTTATTATGCAGCTCTATATTAATCTTTGTTTTTTAATTCCTTTCTGATTTTTCAGTTTAAATTATTTTTATTAACGCACAAGCCAGGTTTGGATTTTACAAGCCCTTTGTAATTAGAAATAAAGCAGCTATTTCCAACTACCTTCAGGTCCTGTGAATTTGTGTTTTTGCTTAAAAATGAAACCACAGTCTGTTTCATTTCTCATTTACTATTTCTCTCCCTGAGTTGTCAGTTTTGATTTTTCTCTGAACTGAGGGCAAGTGAGAGGGCATCTCATCAAATCACTGTAACTGGGCAAGTTTCTTAGAGTCATCTAGTTTGCTTTGCATACCATTTTTAGTTTGTCATTTAAAAATAAATTTAAACTCCATGTTGTTCAAGACATGTTCTTATGTTTAAAATAATCTGCTGAATTAAAAAAATTTTAAGGACATTGACAGTATTTTCATGTGAGAATATGAATACTTCTTTAAGGAAACATAACAGCCTTTAGGAAATAGCCATATTGAAATGACAGTATTCAGAAAGCAGAGTCAAGATAACTGTGAATCTAAGGTCAGCCTAGAATGTGTTATATCTTGTATCAAGAAATATACAAAGAAGAGACAGGCACTGGTGGCTCATGCCTATAATCCTGGCTAGTCAGGGGGCTGAGATCTGAGGATCATGGTTCAAAGCCAGCCCTGGCAGGAAAGTCCATGAGACTCTTCAATAAACTACCAGAAAACCAGAAATGGCGCTGTGGCTCAAATGGAGTGCTAGCTTTGAGCTAAAGAGCTGAGGGAGCCCAATAAATAAGTGGGCGAAAGACTTAAAGAGAAACTTCTCTGAAGAGGAAGGAGGGTTGGCAATAGACACATGAAGAAATGTTCAACATCCCTAGCCATAAAAGAAATGCAAATCAAAACAACATTGAGATATCACCTCACCCCAGAAAGAACGGCAAAAATCAAGAACTCTAATAACAACAGATGCTGGAGGGGATGTGGACAGAAAGGAACCTTACTTCATTGTTGGTGGGAATGTAAACTTGTCCAACCACTTTGGAAAGCAGTATGGAGGTTCCTCAAAAGACTTCACATAGAACTCCCCTATGACCCAGCAATCCCACTTTTGGGCATTTACCCAAATGCTTACAAACAAGACCACACTAAAGCTACCACCACAACTATGTTTATTGCAGCATTATTTACCATAGCTAAGATATGGAACCAACCCAGATGCCCCTCAGTAGATGAATGGATCAAGAAAATGTGGTATATATACACAATGGAATTCTATGCCTCCATCAGAAAGAATGACATTGCCCCATTTGTTAGGAAATGGAAAAACTTGGAAAAAATTATATTAAGTGAAGTAAGCCAGGCCCAAAAAACATTGATCCCATGGTTTCCCTTATTTGCAATATCTAGTATATGTACGAGTCAAGCGGAAAAGGTCAGATAATGTGATGTCAGGAAAATGAACCCTTAGATATGTATTTTAATGTTTTTTCTTTCATGCATGTGTTTCTAACGCATTTATAAGATTGTCTCTTTGTTGCTTTGTATGTCCCTCCCCCACAGTATAAGCCCTGCTTTCACTATATTTGATGTCAGTATAACTTGTGGAGGAGATGGGGAAAAACCAGTTGTTTAAGGATACAGGTGATCTGATGCAACAATGAGAAGTACAAGTTGTCATGTCCAAAACGAGCTTTACAACGTCGGTGCGGGGGGGGGTTTTGGGGGGGAGGGGGGTGGGAGGGAGGGGGGAAGGAGAAGGATTGGGATGGGGGGAGGGGGGAGGCTGGGAAGGGATGGGAAGGGTAAACAAAGGAGGAGGCTGCAATGCTTGGTAAGAAATGTACGCATTATCCTGCCCATGCAATTGTAACCCCTCTGTACAGTAT